TAATTGTAAGATCCAAACCGATAGGTCCTGGGATCAAGTCCCGCAGTCAGGATCGTAGATGCGCACTGCTGAGGATTTTCGTACTAGGGAGAAACGGCCGTTCATTGCTTCCAGGTTCTCCATGGTGGTCTAGCTCTAAGCAACTTATGTAGTCCACCATAAAATTACTAAGATCTCCACTAATTCACCTTCTGATTATGATTCAAAATCTAGTTTTGCGTCGCGTATATTGTTGGGATTTATTGACCTAGTTAATTCGCTTTCACAGACATAGCTCGGGCTCAATTCATTCCCAAGTGAAGACGATGCTGTAAATTCACTCATGTAGAGACTACAAATGTTCGAGATGCTGAACCATAAGGCGCATCACACAGCTCTCTAATCACAGACACAACGAATGATATAGACAATCACAGTTTTGTACCGAATCTTTAGAGCACCGGTTCGGTATGAAATAAGTATAAAGGTGCAATTTTACAACATTCCTGTCCAGTTATGAAAATGGACTGTACGGAAACTTATGCTCCCGAAGTGGAACACAATAAATCTTTACAAATACCAATCACAGAAAAATGTTAGGAACTAAAATTCAACTACATGTCAGCGGGCACCGGTGTTTTGCCAAACAAAGATGGTCCTACCACATTGAATGGTTCCTTTTAATCCACTCGTTGGTGGATAACTGAAATCGTAAGATAAAAATTGAACAAAACATAAAAGGTTGTAAAGCGTGATTAATTGTTAAAAATGAAAAACGACTTCAGAAAATAGGAAACGTAATCTGATTTATAATGGAGCGATTCCAAAACGTCATTTCTGGTTAGGCGGTTTATCAATGCGGTGAAATCTATTTTCAAAATTCAGGAAAAACAGAATTGCTACGTACTGGAGAGTGTGATAATTGGAATGATGCAATGGAAAAAGTATAATTTTGAGTAAATATTTATTCCTGGTTTCACTTTTTCCTGCATTCAACAAGTTGCGATGCACAACACTGGTGTAAAAAACAAGACAATTAAAATAAAATCCACAAATAAAATCATGCTCTTGTATGTTGCGCTCATAAATCAGATATAATAAAGTGTGCTGGAAAGAGTTAGGTATTTCATTATTGTTGAAGAACAAAAATGCGGTAGATTACTTCCAACTCGGGCTGCCACATCTGTATAATACCATTGCACACGCTATTCAAACGAGCAGTGGTAATTATATTTGCTGAAACAAACTTATTGTTTTGGTCATTTATTACGTATCAAGACTACTTGTTAAACTTTAATCGAATTTATTTCAGTTAAAGTATTCTCTAATAATATTGCTTTCAATTCTAAATTAATTTGTCGTCGTTACTTTTCCGTACTTTGTTTCTATTATTTTTGTCAAAACTTTTGGTTTTAACAGTTTACAGTTTTCCACTTTTTGATCATCAATTACTCTTATCTCTGAGTGATGTCGTATCTAGTCTCCCTTGGAAACCCTTTGTTTACTGGCTGTAAAGTACGATAAAATCAACTGCCAAAGCCAAGGCTGCCGATATCCTGTACGTAGTGAAACGTAGTGTGACGCATGCAAAGGATAGAACCACGAAGTTTGCACGAATCTAACTCCTGTGGCCTTAAAAAGATTCACTCAGAATAGCTGCGTGTGATTTTGTTAGCAATGCTGCTCGGACGCAGAGAGCTTGCTATCCTAAGTCATTGGAGTGGCTAACTCTGCTGGAAAGAGTATCAGCAAGTATAGTCGAGACACATTACATAGTACTCGCTCTGTCGATACACAAATCGATGCGAAGTCACCTAAAGTAAGCTCATGGTCTATTGACTTACATGGATCAACAGAGGAAAGACCAACTTCAAACAGATCTGTTGGAAATAAAGGCTCAAGAAAGGGAGTTTCCTCAGTTTCTTGCCTCCCGAATGGCAGCAAGCAGGAGGACCTAGTCTTAAGGCCATGTTTGTTTCTAGCAGGAATAACAACAACCTGACCACCCAGGTCATCGTCTTTCATCCAGGAATCCACAGTGTGTGTAACACGACTGTGGTCGCTACTCCAATGAAAGCTGATGAATGTGTACAGGTCGAGAGCAAGAAACGACATAATTCTAGCAAAGAAAAGCCACACCCCCAAAAGCAGCTGGGAAGCTGAAGACTGATCATATTGACAGGTCAGCTATCTTTCATAGAATCAAGGATACTGAACGCCCAGAACCTTAGACTCGTTTTGAGCGTGACATTGCGTTGATAAAACGACTACAGAATCAGCTAATTCTTCAGGATATCTCCAGAGTCACCTTGCTAAATATGTAAAGACTGGGTAGCCAAATGAATTTGAAACAGAACCAAACAAGGCTGCTAGAAGTAGTTTTTAAATCTCTCAATGAGAGGGACTTAATACTACAGAATGGACACAAACTAAAGTGGTCAGAGGTTTTGTCCGTAAGGACTTTTCGCTCGCAGATCGTTCAAAGAGATAAGAGGCCGGAAAGAACTGAAACTTTGGTTAGATGCCGGCGGAAAGGACCTAATCTTTGACTTACATATAGTTGTCGAAAACGGGCGCGTCGTTCAAATCAGACCTAACGCTTGGAAAGCAAATATATAAGGTATTATGCAATCAGTTTCCTTAGTAGATTGGACAATAGAGCCAAAGTCCCCAATTGAAACAGCTTGGGATATATTTCGAAAGTTGTACTCAAACGTTACTGCACTCTACATCACTTAGACTACACCAAGGGGTCCGAGAAACTCGCCACCATGGTTCGGTAAGGAGATTCATACCGTTCTCCGCATGAGAAGAATTTGGGAAAGATTTAGACTGCTGGATACTAATAAGACAAAATCTCAATGTCTAGAAGCTCGAAATACTTGTGCCTCGACCCTCTGCAAGTCTAGAAGAAAGAATTGTTAAGGAGTTTATTGAATACCCAAACTCTTGTATTCGTATGTAAACTAAAGAGCTAGAAAAAGAGGAAAGATTCCAACACTACGAAGAGACAGTAATGCTTCATCATTGGTGGAGGATGACCATGGTACAGCTCATGTATTCTCAAACTACTTTAGCAATTTATATACCGTAGAGACACCCTTCCCATCAGTTCATTCAAACCCTTTCACACCCTAGACATTACAAAATAAGCTTGATATAGGCAAATCCACGGGACCCGATGAAATTTTTCCTAGATTACTAAAGGAACTAGCCAATTTTGGTGCGGACCCCTCAAGCATATATTTTAGTCTATCCGTAACCAATTGTCAACTACCAAAGGACTGGAATAACGCCGTGGTAAGTCCTCTCTTCAAAAGATGTACAAAACATAAACCTGAGAACTACAGATCCGTTGACCTAACCAGCGTGGTTGTTAAAATTTCAGAAAATACTTCTCGGAAAGAGTTGTTGATATATCTCAATGAAAACTGGATCCTTTTGGAAGAGTAGCATGATGTAGCGGTAAATAAATCCCCAAAGTAAATAGCTCTGTAATTGTTCTACATTGAATGACGTCCACATTAGTTTTAGTGGGCTCAACTAGCTGAAGGCGCTCGGTCATGCATCCGCACCAGATCACGAGTGAGAACGCCGTGCCCAACATCCCTTGCGATCACTAGGCAGCTTAGATCAGTCGATATATTTATAATCGATCAAATATATATTCGAACCTCCACGCATCTGACTTTTCATTTCACTGGGTGGGCACGACTCGATTCTAGAATGTGTTACCGGTTAGTGTTGTCAAACTGCAATACCTGTGGCGCCTTCAATCGCTTTAGAATAGGCTTTTCTTGTCTCAAAAACTTATTATCAGCTCATGAAAACTGGTGCATTCGTAAAGACCAAAAGTTATCTTTAGATGTAGTCCGCATCGACTTTAGCAAAGCTTTTGGCAAAGTTCCTCACAACCGACTGTTATGTGAGTTAAGAAATGTTGGGGTTGGTGGCAATCTATTAATGTGGATAAAAGATATTCTAGTTGGGCGTCGACAAAGAGTACGGGTGGACTCAAAGTTGTCTAACTGGGAAACCGTGCTTAGCGGAGTGCCTCAGGGTAGACTATTGGGGTGTGTTATTCCTATTCTATGTAAGCGATGGAATTCTCTCCCATCATCATCGGTCAAGCTATATGCTGACGATGTCAAGATATGGGGAGGAATAAAAAGTAAAGGTGATAGCCTAGAGCTTCAAAATGACCTGCTGAGATTATCTGAATGGCCTCAAACTTGACAGTTGCCGATAAATACTTCCAAATGCATTGTGATGCATATTGGTCATCAAGGTACATGATGAATAATATTGAGTTTTCTGTTATTCACACACACAATGACTCAGGAGTCATCTTTAGCTAAGACTTAAAAACTACTGTACACCACCAAGCAATAACCGCCAAAGGTTTTAGAACCGTATGTTCAATACATAGGGCTTTTAGTTATATCGACGCTAAAACGCTTTGGACTTTTTATACAGTATTCGTGCATTCTAAACATGAGTACTTTATACAAGCTGCTAGCCCCTGCTTAGAAAAAGGCAGTGAGTTTTTGGAAAGGGTTCAGAGAACAGCAACTAGGCTGATTCCCGAAATAGCAAGGCTCCCGTATGATGCTCGACTGGCTAAACTAAACCTATTCCAGTTGTCATATCGAAGAACTAGAGGCGACTATACTACAGTTTTCAAATTGCCTAGTGATAAATTTGCACCTGATATGCCCTAATTTATCCTGTCTTCCAAAAACAGAGAATTTACTAGGACACTCCAAAATGTTCACAAGCCCAGAACGAATTACTTTTCAGCTGTTTATTGACTTTTCCGTCGGATCGTCAACGAGTGGAATTCATTTCTTCAAGACATGATTGAAGCTACACCTGTCAGTTCTTTCAAAAGACAGTTAGATCAACTGAGAGACCATCATTGCCTAAAGTAACACAGACGACAAAACCTCCCGCCCTTTCCAAAGTGAAACTGAGGCTTGACTACGTTAGGTTGACTCGAGGACGACGCACTTTTGTATTTTAAAGAAAGCGGGTGATTTCTGAGATTAGGTGTTTTCACCTACGTTGTCTCAACCGTGTTCACTGCAACGTCACACCTCACTTTGCATCTTTAGATGGAGACCATATGGGTTTTAATTGCGGTGTTTCTGCTCATGGTGACGTCATACAGTAAGTCTTAAAAGTTTTCCGATGTCCGGCAGCAAAAAATGCTAGTGATTTTGTCCCTACTCATGAGTGGGAAGAAGTCACACCTGGCCATGGAGTCCATTTTGGTCTACATGCGAGACAAAATTTGAAGACCCGGTACAGAGAGGCTAAACATATGGGTGTGATGTCCAGCCCTTCCAATGTAATTGCAGGTTAGTTATGTGTGCTGTTGAGTCAGTAGGTGAACCTGGGAAACCTGCCATCAATGTGTCGACATATTCGGGAGCGGATAACTTGAGCAAGCCCAACACTCAGTCAGCCAGACACTTTCGTTCATATGACGAATTGAAAAAAGACTTCCAGAAAATAAACGTGAATATCAAGACGGATCCCGAAATTATAAATGAAATAATGACTGAAATGAAACAGAATAATTCCTCAGACGAACGGTTAGCGATAATTTTGGAAGATCTGTCTTACTACTTGCACCAGGTACAGCTGTAATCCGGCCTTTTCTACTCACAGATTGACAATGCAAGGATTTTCTCCAAAAATGGTTTCGAAACACTGTTACAGCTTTTACACCATCCCAGTTATGAAGTTAAAAAAGCTTCTTTGAAAGCCATTGGTGCCGCTACTCAGGGGTGCGCTCATTAAGATGTTTCTAAGTATGATAAATCAGTACTTTTGTGCGTTCAGTAGATGTTGTAGAACTAATTGAATTTTTTATTCCTCTGCCTAAATATTGGGTAGTTTCGCTTTCACCGTTGTTTTTTTTGCATAGTAAGGATAAAACAGTTAGATATTGAGTGTAATGATTAGTCCAATTTAATGGTACTAACACAAGCGTGGTCGGCCCGGCTACTACACAAGGGTTAATAGTCGTAAGCAAGTAAGTCAAGAGTGGTGCAATGGTACACACCTTTCAGTCACTACTGGAATTTTGATACTATTGGGTATATATTAGTTGTAGTTTTCCAAACAGTTGTCGAGTGCTTTTCCATGCTAACGTTTATTGGTCTCATGACTACTTTTTAAGTTATTTCAAGTTTTCGTTTCCGTGACTTTTTGATACTTGTCTTTTTAGTCAGCATTTCCTCAAGTTCAAACGATGTAATAAGTAAGAAGCCATATGTCATTTCGTCTCATCACTTTCTTAATCCCCTTAATAACTTGACCTAACATCAGTCTCTTGACGTCTTAAATTATTTTCCATTTGGTTTGGGTCCACTTTGTGTTAATTATTTTATATCACCTATCTTGCAAGGCTCCATGTTAATACTTACAGTATCCAAACTTATGAAAGTCCGTCCTTTGTTTATTGAAGCGTTGGGACTGTCTGTGTGCTTTCTTAAAACTGGCATCTGTGACTGTCACTCTTAGCTCACTATCATAACACGAGCCACAACAGTAATTGTTGGTCCCACAGTATGTCTTGACTTATTTCCTCTCCCCACAGTTAAATATACACTAGTTCCGTTTGAACTAACATCTCGGAAGTAATGGGCTTTACTTCGAAACAACCTCAGTTGATAGTTTATGCCTGCAAATAATTACTGTCACCGCTCAAAATGTAACTTACTAGGTTGATTGCATGACTATCCCTTCATATTTGAGTACAGTTCTAAAACAATTAGATAGGTTAACATCCTGACATCTCTCGTACTTTGATTAAAAACTCAGGAAGACCTTTTTGATAAATTCTAATGAACGGGCTCCTCAGCATATTACAATCGGCAAAACAATTGGAAATGGTTTGCCGACTATCCTAATGTGCTTTAAAAAAACGGTTACACACCAGTGTTAACAGAGTTCACCACGTTTTGCTGTTTGGCAACTGTTTGACAAACGCATTCCAAACATCCCTGCATTGTTGCTCAGTGCTACCAAGACCCTGCGTTTTATCAGCTCTAAACGTCTGGGCTGAGAGCAGATAAGGGTTTCGTCTTTTTCCGAGATTGTCTCACTTACACTTGACTTCTTAATTCCGGTTTCTTTTATTAGTCTGAAGAGTTCCCTAGTGTTGCCTACAGCCTCTGCCTTTTCCATCTCTTTTGCTTTCGTTGCCCACCACTGCTCACGATCGTTCCTTAGACTTTTAGTCAACCTAGATCTAATTTGTTTACGCTCTTCGTCGTGTTGAGAGCCTGATGGGATGAGTTTACGCAAATCCATCAGTGAAATAGACTTGGAAGAAATCCATTGGTTTTTTGGAACCCTATGGTTTAAATTACTAATAGATGTGACTGCTGTTTCCGCAGTTGTTCGTATGTCTTTCCAATCAGCATCTGGGTCAGTCTCGTTTACAGAACTGCCTAGATGTGAACTCAGTTATTTCTGAAACTCGCATTTGGCTTTCTCGTCCTCCAGTTCAATCCTAATGGGTCTTCTTAGTGTAGTTTTCCTGCGTCCAGTGAGGCGCAAACAAATGCGTGCTCGTATTAAAGCGTGATCAGAGTACAAACAGCTATTCCAGTACGAGCGACAATCTTCTATCGAGCCTCTCCAACGATAACTGATGGCAATATGGTCTATTTGAGTCCATCGTTGGTTTAGTGCAGGTGGTCGCCATGTTAGGCGATGTCTCTCCTTATGCTTAAAATTAGTGCTTACTAAAAATAAACGATTGTCTGAGCATAGTTGCAACAGACGATCACCATTATCGGTTCGTTGAGCCAGAATACTAAAATACCCACCAAACTCCGCCTGTAGCTCCTCCGGAAGCTACTGCCGGTCCTAAGTCCGGATAAAGAATTATGCAAACCATCGAAACTCTGCCTTGGGAGTTAAAGGAAGAATTATGACGCCCCATGATGAAAGTCGGGTTCCTTCGGAAGTAATGAGGCCAATGCACCTTCTAACAACCAGAGAAACAATTTTTATAGGTATATGGAACGTCCGGACAATGTGGAAGACAATTTTATCATACAACAAAGAAACAAGTACCAACAGACTGGAAAGAAGGACTTCTGATCGAAATACCAAAGAAAGGCGATTTCAGTAGACGTGATAACTACAGGGGCATCACTCTTCTCTCAATACCAGAAAAAGTCTTCAACAGAGCATTGTTAAACAGAATAAAGGACTCTGTAGACACCCAACTTCGAAACCAACAGGCTGGATTCTGCAAGGGTCGATCGTGTACAGACTGAATTGCAACTCTACGGATCATTGTGAAACAATCAATTGAATGGAATTTATCACTCTACATCAACTTCATTGACTACGAAAAAGCATTTGTTAGCGTGGACAGGACAGCACTATGAAAGTTTCTTCGACACTACGGCGTGCCTGAGAAGATAGTCAATATCATACAGAATTCCTATGATGGATTGAATAGCAAAATCTTCCATGGAGGACAACTCACTGACTCATTCGAGGTAAAGAGCGGTGTTAGGCAAGGTTGCTTACTCTTATCCTTTCTCTTTCTTCTGGTGATCAACTGGATGACGAAGACGTCAACTCCTGGAGGGAAGCACGGGATACAATGGGCAGCTAGGATGCAGCTGGGTGATTTAGACTTCGCAGACGATCTGGCACTTCTATCACACACGCAACAACAAATGCAGGAGAAGACGACCAATGTAGCATCAGTAGGTCTCAATATACACAGAGGGAAAAGCAAGACTCTCCGATACAATACAGCATGCATCAATCGAATCACACTTGACGGAGAAGCTTTGGAGGGTGTAAAATCCCTTACATATCTGAGCAGCATCATTGACGAACACGGTGGATCTGATGCAGATGTGAAAGCGCAGATCGGCAAAGCAAGAGCAGCATATTTACAAATGAAGAACATCTGGAACTCAAAACAATTGTCAACCAACACCAAGATCAGAATTTTCTATACAAATGTCAAGACAGTCCTACGGTATGGAGCGGAAACCTGGAGAACTACGAAGGCCATCATCCAGAAGATACAAGTGTTTATTAATGGTTGTCTACGCAAAATACTTCGGATCCGTTGGCCAGACACAATTGGCAACAACCTACTATGGGAGAGAACAAACCAGACTCCAACGGAGGAAAAAGCGCTGGAAGTGGGTAGTACACACATTTAGGAAACCACCCAACTGCGTCACAAGACAAGCCCTCACATGTAATCCTGAATGCAAAAGGAAAAGAGGAAGACTGAGGAACACATTCCTCCGAGAAATGAAGACAGACATGATAAAAATGAACAAAAATTGGATAGAACTAGAAAGGAATGCCTATAACAGAGTGGGTTGTAGAATGCTGGTCGGCGGCCTATGCTCCATTGGGAGTAAGAGGCGTAAGTATGTAATACTAATTCCAATCTAATCAATCTTCATCAGTCTGATAAAAAGTATGTAAACTGGTTTTTGATTAATCATTATTGACCACAGGTTTTAAACAGCTGGAATGATTCTATGAACCACCTTTCGTATATCACTTATGTCTCACACTACTGCTGGCGAAAATTTTTTTAGTCCACCTCTAATTCTCCACTGTTTATCATTCTTTGAGTCTTCCACACTATCTTCCGGAGAAGCTGTCAGTTCACTAGTTTGCTAAACCCACTGAAAAATTTTCGATGGCTTCATTACAGTTGTTTACATATGCTTACTTTTTTTTCATGGTCGATTAAATGCTTAGTCGAATCCCTTAATGCATCCTTGTTTTCCATCTTTGAAGTGAGCTCTCAAGAGTCTCACTGTTGTAAATTTCTCATATGTTTTGGTAAAGCTCATGGAACTGCTTGCTCTTAATGAAATATGATAGGAGTCCAAGCGTGCGCTCCAGAAAAAAACACTTTCTTATTTAAGCCTCTTCAACGAAGGTTGGTAGACTATGTCTCCCCTTATGCTACAAGTTGATTCTTCCTGAGAGTAAACAACTGCTTACGCATAATTGCTAAGAGAAATCATTGTTATTTGTTCTCTGGGTTGGAACTCTATAAGACCCATTTAAATATATTTTGGCTCTTCTTTGTCTACTGACTGACTTACCTAGGCATCAAAGTCATCATTTGTGGTTATGGGTTATGATAGCCTGGCTTCTTCAGAAAGCTCGGAAAGCTTTCTAATAAACTTAACTTTTACTCCATCCGAGCCCCAATCAATGGAGGTGCAAGAAGAAATGAAAAGGATGCAACAGAATGAGTCTACCTCCCTTGTTTACTACTGTATTGCTTAATCGGACAGCGCACAATTCATCAAAAGAAATCTATTCGAATATTGATTCTTTTGCTTTCTTAGTGTTATACTTATACCAGCAGAACCATGGAAATTCGCAATCGAATGTGTAAATACTGTATTTGTGGGTCATTTGTATTATATATTGTTGTTTACTGTGTGTCCTAATAAGAGAATAAAATAACTTCGCTCACCTTTCACTTCAAAGCAGTTGCCTTGTATGTAATCTTTAGTAACTTGTAAATAATGCATTTCCCATAAATATCCAGTCATACAGGTTTTGTTGAAAGTTAGGCTACATCAGTTCAGTTGATTCAGTTTCCGGTGGATTGACCGTGTTAGTGTGTGCTGTCATTAATTTTGATGTAGGGCAAATGGGATATTTAATATGTATCAAAGTGTTCGTCGATCGTTTTTCTTGCATATTGTTGTACATGATAACAGCCAATTAAAAAGCTAGATGTACTGATTGTTTATAAACATCATTGTTTCGAAATTTGAGTGTTACCAAGATTTCAAATCTTAGTGAATGTCTTTACATTGATCATTTTCATAGAAATTCTGAAGTCAAAGTAGTCGCACTTCAAAGTGGTTTGGTTGACCAGTTACATTCTTTTTTGAAGGCATGCATCAATGGACAAGATTCGTTGGAATTCAGTACATTACTGTCAGGAGTAGTGTCAACGTTAAGTGCGTTGCTGCGTGACTTCCCATACGCCCAAAAACAGTTCTTTTCGACTTCAGGAATATCGCCATCTGGTTTCGAGCTACTTGCACAACTTAGTCGTCGAAATGCTTCAAAGGGCATTCAAGGCTTACGGGTTCGAATCCTGACGCTTTTGACATATCTTTACAGTGAGCGTGTATGTTCATTTTTGTGCCTAAATTGTGTAAACATATCATTACGAGTGATATATTGTTTAATACTTAGAATTCGCTTGTGATATTTTCAGTAGACATTCCAAGCACTAATAAGATTTTCAACTCTGTTTTGTTATCAGACCATACCTTTAGATAACTTTATTGGTAATAAGATTTTCCTCCTTATTCTGGGACGTGTTGAAATATAAAACCACAGTTTACTTTTCTCGAATAACGTAATATTACCCCGACCGTAGCTGCTACCTTGACGTGGTAGTCGGGCTTGTCTATCGTAATGACTCAACCTAGCTATATTAGCTGGAACATGTGTTCCTGTAGGTTCTACCATGCCAGGCAGGTCGATTAAAGAACAGCAAGACTTAAAGGAGCAACTCAAGGTCTGAGGGTGAAGTCGTACTGCTGACTTTAGAGGGGTGTGACAGCAGTGAGATGTTTCCCTCGGACAACAAGCATCTGCAGCGATGCTGCCTTCTCAAAAAGAAGGAAGGGGCTAGAAAAGGTCGACCCTAAAAATGTCACGCTTCACATTACCTCACGGATTTCCGTCTCCGGCGGTAACGCCCTTTGAAGAACGGAGCTAACACGTCAAATACCTCCCACAAAAAGGCCGTGCGTGACCGTCCTCAAGAAGTTGTCCCCTGGGCACTGCGGTCACGCTCCAGGATCGTTATGACCAACATTAATCCAACTTCTTTTTTAGGTCCCTCAAGAAATACCCTTCTACGGTGTGGGCAACCGGGAAGTGATATTAGCCCTCAGACCCGTAACAGCACATGAGACCAAATTAATCACACTCAAATCTTTCCTACACCTCCTAATAACTCCCTTATCTCCACGACTAACTATTCTCACGTTCTTTTCTCACCGCCAGGGCAAACGATTCGAGTACATAGAACGTTATTCTTGGTCTCCTGAAACCACGCTTTAAACTACATGTGCCAAATAGGACAACACGCTTCCTTAGCTAGAACTTTAAAATCTCGTACCATCGATGTGTGCTGCGTCTCCGAATCGCGCATACAGGATCCGAGTAGCGTCATTCATTTGACCTCACCATGTCATAATAATGAACCAACTCGATTCGCACTTCGTGTATCTGGAAGCCATGATGCTGCTTCCCGTGGCCTCGCTGGCGTAGGTATAGCATTAAGTTCTAGGGCAGAACTAGCTATTTTAGACTGGATCCCTGTAGACAGTGGTTTGTGCAATGTCCGACTAACCGGAACAGTAAGGACTCGGATAGGGACACTCGTCGTCGTTTCTGCCTATTTTTCCACTGACTGCTGCTTAGATGATGTAAAAGATTAGTTTTACAGTAAACTTTCTGACCTTCTCCGAAAAGCTAGGCGCTCTAATGTAGTAATATTGGCTGGTGAGTTCAATGCCTAAGTAGATAAACGAAGTGAAAAGAAAAGACACGTGGGTGGATCTTATGGTCCCGTAGCTCAAGGAACAGATAATGTCGACGGTCTGTTGCAGCTATGTTCAGATAACCGCCTGTTTCTTGCAAATACTAACTTTAAGCACAAGGAAAAACATCTTTTGACATGGCGACTTGCTTTTAAACATAACACTTTCATCATCTAAATCTCCAGGAGTTGAACTTTTACCGGGAGATCCACTTGTTGACTTAGAATATGCCGATGACATAGTTCTATTTGGTGAAGACGCTGACAAAATGCAGAGTTTTATGATCACCGTAAGCAACACTGCAAGCATGTTCGGGGTGCGATTCTCCCCCTCGAAGTGTAAAATGTTACTTCAGGATTGGGTTGCATTGGCACCTGAACTGATGATAGGGAGTGAAGTAGTTAAGCGTGTTGACTGCTTCACTTATCTTGAGAGTCTCATCAGCCCTTGTGGTCTGGTGTGTGACGAAATCTCAGCACGGATACAGAAGACTCGACTAGCTTTCGCCGACTTGCGTCATTTATGGCGTAGGCGAAATATCCGTCTCACAACCAAGAGACAGGTTTACTGTGCAGCAGTTCGTTCCGTCCGACTTTATGGCAGTGAAACATGGCCGATAAGAGTAGAGGATATTCGTAGACTGCTAGTATTCGATCATAGGTGTCTTCGAAGCATTGCTCGTCTATCCTGGGACCACCGAGTAAGTAATGTAGTTGATAGGAAACGGGTACTAGGTAAGGATGGCAAATCGATTGATGAAGTGGTGAAACTTCATCATACGTATGCCCAACCACTGACTGCCCCGACGTGCAATGTTTTATAGCGTAAGAGTAGGTTGGAAGAAAGCTAGGGGCGGCCAGACCAAAACGTGGCACAAATCCATGAAGTCACTGACAAGTGGAGTGAGCCATGTTGGTAGGTGTAAACTACCTGGTTGGGATTCACGAGATGATAGTAATCGATGGTTAGAGACCTTGAATGACATGGCTCAAAATCGTTTGCAATGGCGAAGGTGCATCCACTCTTTGTGTTCTGCCAAGTTCTAATCTTCTGAATTCCTCATGTCTCTATATTTTTATTCCTCTTTTCGGATTTATTTCACTGGATTATACTCCTTGAATAACATATTGAAACCCTAATCTTTCGGATTACTGCTTATACTCTTACTACTTTTACCACCATGGGGTTGGAATCGACAGCTGCATCGCTGTGCTAATGTGGTATGGTAACTCGAACTGATGTACGTATGAACGAAGTTCTATGTTGTGACTGACGGACGTAATATTACTGTGTACATTACAAAGATGATTAGGTCAACCTGAGATGGCTGAATTGAATATTATCCTGAGTTACAAATTATTTACGACAACTAAAAACTTGTAATTACAGAATTTACGTACCACTCGAAGTATTATCATGATTTCCTGAAAAACAGCCATGTTAGAGTATTGCATAACTGCGTAAATCCAACATGCTTAGGAATAAGCGGTTCGATACTGTAATTAACCTTCACCTTTTAGCGTTTAGCCTCATTCGTAAACTGCCTCATAGTGGTAGGAGTAGTCATCTAACTATCTGGTGCAGTTTGTTGAGTGGTTTCTATTGGAATATAGTCAGATTTTTGCCATATCAAGGTCTCCCCATTGTGAATAAACGTAGTCAATTTCTTTCTATCCAACTATTTGTGAGTTTAACACTGAGGTGTCAATAGTAAAGTTTTTGACATGGTATCGTGTTAGTGTATAGTACATCGGTTTCAATAAGTAAACAGTATGACTACTTCGTTTATTCACCCATTTCTGCCGTTACGATATTTGCTCCTGACCGTTGGTACTACCTTGAAGCAGTGGTTAAGCTTGCCTATCATGATGAAACAATCGGACTATACTGACTGGAATAATCGTTCCTCAAGGTCCCACCGTGCCAGACGGGTCGGTTGAAGAGCGGTAAAATTAAAAGCTGCAAACCCAAGGTCCGAGGATAAAGTCGTACTACCTAATGTACAGAAGTGAGACGGCAGTAAGGAGGTTTCACCCCAGACAACCAGCATAACAGCGATGTTGCCTTCCCACAATAGAAGGGTGAGGTTAGAAAAGGTTGACCCTAAAAATGTACACCTCATCTTATTCTACGGATTTCCGTCTCTGGCTGTAAGGTCTCAACAAGTACAGAGCTAACACAGAAATGCTTACAACGAGATCGTGTGTGACGGGCCCAAGCAGTTGTCCTGTGAGCAGTTCGGTCACGCCCTCAGGTCACTAAGATCAACTGTAACTCAATTTCCTTTACAAGTACCTCTAGAACAACCCTTCCACGGTATAGCGACCGTGTAGTGATAACCGCCCTTATACCTCTAACAGCAATCAAGATCACTGTATTAATAATCAATTTTCCTCCTCAATTGCTACTAATCCTACTACCTCATCTATCAACTCTAAACTTCCTTCTCATGTGCTACCATGGCCAACGATTCTAGTTCGCGAAATACTATCAAAGGTCTATCTAAACCCCGTCCCAAACCACACATTGGAGCCTTCAACCGTCAAGTCGACCAGCAGGCCTCCTTAGCTGAGATCCTAGAATCTCGTACCACGGTATGCTTTATTTCCAAAACACTCATACCTGCTCTTAGTGTGGTCATTCATATGACCACACATCGCCAAAACCGACAGTCAACGAAATACACCCTCCGTTTATCTGGCGACCCGATGGCTAGTTCTCGTGGACTTGCAGGTGTACAAGAGCGAAACAAACACTATTATAATGGATTCCCTTTAACAGTCGCCTATGTGCTGTTCGGCTAAGCGGCTCCGTAAAAACTCGGTAAGATAGGGGCACACGTCGCAGTCTTGTCTGACCCTGGTCTTGACTTGGAATACGTCTATCAGCTGTCTTCTATGCATCACTTTGCAGTGTAGTCAGTCGTATGAACTCCGGAAGTTGTTGACCATTTTCCCAGGTACATCATAGCATCGGAGAAGATTCTCCTATCCACGTTGTCGAACGCCTTCTCATGGTCTAGGAAGTTGATATATGGTGATGAGTTCCATTCAATTGCTGCTCTGGTTGTTAGAAGGAACATCGGCTACGTGACTTCCAAAGAATCTCGGCTTTCGTCATGTGGCGTCATAATACTTCTGATAAAAGATCCTTCAACTTCCAGGGTAGAGCCTAAACGGTTTAGTTTGTTTTTTCTAGTAAGCGCCTTTTTTAGCAAGGTTGTGTTCTATGGGATGGCGTTACTGGCCCCATGCCCAACTCTCATCCTTCACTCGGGCTTGGAGCCGTCAGTAACCCTACAAGAGCCAGAAGCGGAGTTAGTACCCAATTAACCTGTTCTCAAATTCTATGTCAGACCAGGGTTAAATTAACAAGATGTCTCATTACGATCGATTGTCATTGCTAGGGACACTTAAGTAATAATTTGTCCAATTAACTTCACAGAATAATGAAATATCTCAGAAACCGTAACAAGAATATTGACACCTTTTTGAATCGACGTTGCTTATAAACCAACATTTCATTTCATTGTATGCCGACCAAAAAACAAATGCAACATTTATAAATTGTAGCAACTACTGAAAATATTGCATTGGAAAAAGTGTTTACCCCTTCTACCTGCACTTAAATGATCATAGACTAGTACTGAGGCGACATGATATGATATCACTGACTTCAATACATTTGGATAACCATGAACATACGTTCAACTGGAGAGACGTTAAAATTTTAGTTCGGATAAACTCGAGAAATGTTAGAGGATTTCTGGAAGCATGACGTTCAAATCAGTTAGCAACTAAAAGATACATTGAGGTAGACCCAATCTATGAACCTTTGTAGAAGGGACCAATCAACCATAAAGTCAGAGGTAGACTAACAACACAAATCCTAATGCGAATAAAAACAAAACCTACAAAGATAGTCATAAATGAGCCATTGGAATGACCCAGTATAACACTTGTGGAATAACTAAAAATATCACTTCTCTATGAACTAAGTCCTGGAGATACACATTATCTGCAATTAAACCTGTCTCAGAGGACTAAACACCAACAGCAGCTATCTAATCCCTAGTGGTGTTAAGGGCTTTTAGTTAGAGAACCAGACTGCTGTTGTTATGCTTGGACCTTTACTTAAATATCGTCTTTGGTTGCTCCACGACAATAAATTTGATACTTTGGTCTTATACTACCTAACAATTGATAGATCATTAGTCTTTATTATATAGAAAGGACTGACTGTAAAGTAGTAGGATAACAATGGTAACTATATACAGTCGTACCATTTTGGTGGTTTTCCAACTAGTATGTTCACAACACTTAGAGACTAAATTTAAATGTACCGTCGAACAATGTCAAATTGTGTTTATATGCCTCGCCTGTTTTCATAGTACTAACAAATTATTTTATTTCACAGTTCTAAGTCACTTGAAGTGTTCAAGGCATTACTATTATTATTATTTTAGCTTGATGCTCAAAAAGATTTTGAGGAAGGCCCCACAAAAACAAAAATGGATGTATGGAATATGTATGCTAGGTGAGTTCAAACGGATTCATATTTTCCTATACACAAATCTATTTATCGCAATCTTTTTCTAGTTCAATTCCACTCTTTTGTGAATCCATGATTCTTGCTTATGACTGTAGGAGCAAAATTGAACACCCTTTCTTAACAAACAAATGTCTTGTCGACGTTTATAATTCAACTCTTTCGTGTAAAATCGAGTGTAAACAACAATTTTAACTTGTCGTTGGATGATCCTTGAAATATTCACTTGGCAATATCGTGTTGGTTTGTTAGGTAGACCAGGCTGAAAGTCCATCACACCGTCTATCGGATCAGTCTGTCTCTGTCACTCATACATATTCAAAGTCAACTACACATTCTTGTATTGGGTTGCCGAATTGAATCACTGTTATTATGTTGCTCGCGTTTACCTGCTTCATACCCGTCTAATGACAACCGTGCTTCTTCGCTCAGTAATTTACCATTTTGTAACTACTAACATGTCAGATGGTTGTGACATCTAAAACATAATGATTTAGTCGACATTCCGTTCTTTCGTATCCTAAATCTGATCGAATGGTTAATATTTTAACTCGTTTTCTAAGTACAGGATTTGAGTTGTACTTTAGTTTCTGATACCACCTAGCTTCCAAAACCAGTGTTAGATAGAGCAGAATTCAAATCTGGAAACCATAAAGTGGCATTTAAATCATTCAGCTCCATTAAGCTTTCTTCCTATTCGTGCATTGGACCTCATCTACGAAACTTGTAATTTCTCATTGAACTTTTCCTATCTTGGTCAAGCTGACAAAGCATTCTGCATCATAACCAATGAAGTGCAACAAGATCAGGAAGGGGGTTGCAGCGCATGCTTTCACTGAATGATTCTTTTCAACCCTCGTCTGCGTTGCATTTACCATTGAGACTAAATACTCGAATAATAACTCACTAAAATAGTTTGTTGAGGTCAGGTATAAACTGACGTGTCAATGGAAAACAATCTTCTTGGACTCAAGTGTTTAACTATCTTAGTGTCATCAAATACTTGGCATGAAGTGCCTTTGACTAGATCCACAAGTCGCAAAAGTGTTTTATAAGACTTCGGAATATCTTTGCTTTTGACTGGATTGTTAACCCCAGTTACCAGTTACGTCTAATTCGCCGACTACTGTCATGTACAAGCTCTGAGCTCAAATTAAAAATTGAGATAAGTTCGTTTGTGGTGTAATTTGAACTACAATATTCTTGACAGTATTATATGGTTTTCTCTCTTTTACTTTTTTCATCACATACCTTTGTATCACAGTATATATCGAAACCATTCACTATATTTTACTTCATGACCGTTAGGGGTAAACGATGTGTAAGCTACTGGTACCCTAATATAATTTCCATCTAAATGTCGCTAATGTGACCAATGAGTACAGAATATTGATATTAAGTGGGAATCTTTGGAGGTAGAAGGTAAGTCAAACGGTAGAATTATATCTGCGCCAAGCAAAGTGACGGTTATAAATTACATTACTAACCTTAATAGCCGATGATAACTTCAGTAGAATTAGATTTGGAAAATACATAAGTTGCTGTACACAGATCTAACTAATCCATAAAATCACTAGCTGTTCTTTCAATGTATGACCTAGTCAATAGGAATGAATCATTAAATTACTTGATATGACTATTTTTATGAAACAAGTATGATTTAGCTATACCGTCACTTCAATCAAATTCGTTTACAAAATAAGGGAAGTCTGAACACTACTCAAGGAGCAGTTGCTAGCTCACACTAAGACATGCATATTTATCCAGTGCACAAATATTTATTATGGAAAAACACATCATATTCTTTTATTTCTCTTCTTTCAGTATCCCTTTCGAAGAAAGCTTTCTAATGTATGGATTTTGCGAAACGTTACATATATCTTTACTTCAAGATGTTCAAAGAGGCAACGAATATAACGATTTGAGTGCACCGGTAAATCATGATATACGTGAAAAGGTTATAACGGCGTGTTTAAAGTTTTTCAACGTATGTGGTTGGGAATCATCCAATTTCTCAAACAAACAGCATATTCTAAACTTATTGGACTCGATCATAGACGAGTACAAGCTGCGCTCGGAAAGTGACACTGATGACATTAATTCTTATTTTACTGATATGCTACTTAAAGTTCAAAGGTTCAGGAATATGTTGAAGCCTTATGAATTGCCGAGAACTGACCTGTAGTTCCACAGCATCTGCATACAATGTACATACTTGCTTTGATATTATATTTTTTCGCATTGACGTTCCCTGCATTTTGAAACTTGGATTCATCTTTCGTTTAAGTACATACATATGTTGAGGTAATTACTTGAAAAATATTCCGCTCACTTTACTACACCTAGGTTTTCTGTATAACTTCACAAATATGAATAGTCACTAGGCTGTTCCACATAAGTTTAGTAAAGGTAACGAGATAGGTTTATTACACATCATGATCATGGATACAATCATATTGGTTTTATAACAGCTATCTATTAGTTATTTAAACCACAGGGCTCCAAAAAACCAGTGGATTTCTTCCAAGTCTATTTCACTGATGGATTTGCGTAAACTCATCCCATCAGGCTCTCAACACGACGAAGAGCGTAAACAAATTAGATCTAGGTTGACTAAAAGTCTAAGGAACGATCGTGAGCAGTGGTGGGCAACGAAAGCAAAAGAGATGGAAAAGGCAGAGGCTGTAGGCAACACTAGGGAACTCTTCAGACTAATAAAAGAAACCGGAATTAAGAAGTCAAGTGTAAGTGAGACAATCTCGGAAAAAGACGAAACCCTTATCTGCTCTCAGCCCAGACGTTTAGAGCTATAGGCGGAACACTCTAAGGAGCAGTTCAGCTGGCCTTCAGCTACTGCACAACTACCCACTATTCCCAGACAGTCTGAATGGAACATTGAAGTAGGTCCCCCGACCCTACCTGAATTTCAAAAGGCTACAACTAATCTGAAACGAGGAAGAGCAGCTGGTCCAGATGAATTGGCTTCAGAGGTCTTTAAATATGGTGGTCCAATTTTGGCGATTAGGTTGACTAACATTCTGGCTAAAATCTGGGAGTTGGACGTAATCCCATCTGACTGGTCACAATCTCCGATTGTCCCAATATATAAGAAGGGGCCAAAATCATCCTGCGATAACCATAGAGGGATTAGTCTGACTAACATAGCATCTAAAATACTAGCCTCAATAATTACCAGGCGCCTAACTAAGACTCGTGAACTGCAAACACGAGAAAATCAGACTGGCTTCAGACCTGGTCGTGGCTGCATCGACCACATATTCGCTATTTGTCAGGTTTTAGAGAAGAGGCATGCTTATCGGCGTCCGACAATGATAGTTTTTCTTGACTTAAAAGCAGCATTTGACTCTGTAGACCGAGAGGTTCTGTGACAGTGTCTGTCATTGAAAGGTGTACCTCAGAAGTACATAAACCTTGTGAAGGCTCTTTATTCGAACACTACCAGTCGAGTGAGAGCTTATGGCGAACTGTCATATATGATTTTACAACCTCAAATGGTGTCCGTCAAGGTTGTCCACTATCCCCAATTTTGTTTAACTTCATTGTAGACCTATTGCTGGAAATAACACTCCCTTCGACTGAATTTTCAGGAATTGATCCCCTACCAGGAGGTCTACTTATCGACTTAGAAAACGTGGATGACATAGTTCTGTTTGGTGAAGACGCTGATAAAACGCAGGGTCTTGGTAGCACTGAGCAACAATGCAGGGATGTTTGGAATGCGTTTCTCCCCCTCTAAATGTAAACTGTTACTTTAGGACTGGCCTGGGTCAACACCTGAATTACGGATAGGGAGTGAAGTAGTCGAACGCGTCGACAACTTCACTTATCTTGGAAGTCTGATTAGCCCTAATGGGTTGGTGTCTGACGAAATCTCAGCACGGATTCAAAAGGCTCGTTTGGCTTTTGTCAACTTACATCACCTATAGGGAAGACGAGATATCCATCTACCAATTAAGGAACGAGTATACTGTGCAGCAGTCCGCTCTGTTCTACTTTGCGGCTGTGAAACGTGGCCATTAAGAGTAGAAGATACTCGTAAGTTACTAGTATTTGACCACAGATGTCTTAGAAATATTGCTCGCATCCTCTGGTATCACCGGGTAAGTAACAGTGAGGTTAGACATAGGGTATTAGGGAATGATGGTAAATCAGTTGATGAGGTCATGAATCTTCATCGACTGAGATGGTTGGGCCACGTGTTACGTATGCCTGAACACCGATTACCACGACGCGCTATGCTGACTAGTATTGGCGATGGTTGGAAGAGAGTTAGGGGCGGCCAAACTAAAACATGGCATCAGTGCTTGAAGTCACTAACCTCTAGTCTGAGTCATGTTGGTAGATGCAGACTACCTGGTTGGGGTCCACGTGACTATCGTAACCAATGGTTGGAGACTCTGTGTGACATGGCTCAGATTCGATCAAAATGGTGTAGGTGTATACACTCTTTATCTTCCCTTAAACCTTAAGATTAAAATTGCCTCATAACTTTTTTCCTTCCTATACTATATCCTTATATACAACCTCTATATACTACCACTACTAAATTAACTACTATTAATCCGGTGTTCATCTTGTTGTGCTAACGAGGTATGGCAACTTGGACCGATGCATGTGTGTACTTGGACCTACGTTGTCGCTGACTGACTGACTATAACAGCTACACCGATACAACAGAATTTAGAAAAAAATTACGTTTCCTTGGGAAATCGGTACAAAGCTATCAAATACTCAAAAATTCCATACTAAGGAAAAGATTATTGCACTGGTTTGTGATAGACTTATTCCTAACAATATAACTTTATTTCCAAATAGGTCAGCATGATCTATTTAATTGACCAGCCATTATCAACGCAGAAGCTGGTATAATCTTGCGTCTATTTGGTAGATTTTACAGTTATTTCTCAAAATAGGTATACTTGGCAAGCATTTTTCCACCGTGTCAGGACTGCTACGATGTCTTCGCTCTTTCCAAAAACATGTTTTTGTGGATGATTCTACAAGTCGATTTGCCGCAGGCTTACTTTCTGGTGTATTATATGCGATTTCGTCGATCAGATAGTATAGCTAACCCTTAGTCAACATGTTTCCGAGGCAAGTACATAACTCTGTTTGATGGGAAAGCTACACTATTGAATGACTATTACTACCCCCACTTTTATGTAGCCTTACTTCCGTTACACATAAGTCTCCAGTCCTAGAATTCAACATATCCAAGAATGGCAGTGGCTGATCCTTTCTCTAATGTTCATTTAATATCGCCAAAGAATGGTAGGTACGGGCTTAGGAACAAATGAAATATATGCGTAGATGATAACAGCAAAGATAATGGTGACAACCGATCGCATTCGTCAAAATGATATATATATATATATATATATATATATATATATATATATATATATATATATATATATATATATGAGGGAGAGAGAGAGAAATAAATACTCTAAATGTAACATACTTTAATAAGGCATATATTTTTTACTAGAAATCAAGATTCATAAAAATTCATTGTAGAAGTCTAAATGCTACAGTTTAAGTTGAAATAGTTGATGGGAATGCTGATAAATTAGCTTTATAACAGGATAAACTACATAAGGAACGGCCTGTTTTAGCACATTCATAGCGCCTAGCACAGCCGCAACCCATGTCACATAGACGTAACTTAGGTATTTCAGGGGCTGTAGCTTTTTGTATGTAAACACTCGTGTGCATATAAATATCCTTGTCACTATTATTATCTGTCTCAGGTAAACAGATGACTGTTTTTGTTGATAAACGAGACGAAGATACAAAGCGAATGTATCCAGGTTTGGGATTATATGATTGAACATTTGGCAAACTAACAGACATGTTATTATCAGACATTTTCGTATTTTCATAAGCACTGACCACTAAATCGGTGTTCATACCTTCACTGGGTCGTAGTGAAGCGTGTGTGTCATTGAAATACTCCTTTTCAATGATATCCCCCTCATAATTTAAAACATCAAATTGTGAACGCGTTAGAGCTGAGATCTGATCACGGTTTACCAAACCATTATTCCGAAGACCTTTACCTCGACCACGACGCCCAATCACATTTGCGTTGATCTAAAAAAGAAAATCCATAGTTTGGTTAATTTGTCCAAATTGTTTTCTGCTCAAGTATCACCACTTAACTGTGAAAACAAAATTAACACACCTGCAGAAACTGATTACTATGATATGTATATATATGTAATATATCTTGATAACTTGTCATAGTGTATGATGTACTTTTAGTATAGATCGGAATAACCGAAACGTCCCTGAAAAGGAAATTCACGAACTGAATCCAATAAATAGTAAACCACACAGGTCCTCCAAGTATAGAGGCTTACCCATGCACTTGAAATGAAACGTAGGTTACTGTGAAAAGTGAAATTTGCATCCATTCCATTAGTTTCAGTGATTGACGCTTTGGACTATGTGGATAGGGTAACTTACTTTGAGCAAACGTTCCACAGTTTGGAGCTTCTCAACTTCCGCTTTGTGCTTAGCTGATTCTCTGCGATGAGCTATTCTTTTTTGCCGGACGGCAATTTGTTCCGCTGTTAAGGTTGGAGCTGGTTTAGTTGGATTCAAGCACTCTAGACTAATTAGTTTGGAATGAGCTGTAGACTGCTTCATGTCCTTAATATCAGTTGGAACAGCGATTTTCTGTGATTGTAAACTTATCTGTCGTGCAGTTAACAACTTTGGAGGTCTATATTCCACTTCAGAATCATCACCAGAGCTACCCCCGGTCTTCAAATTGTCAGTCATATTGAAATCCTGGTCATCCTCAAGAGCGAGGCTTATGTAATTCTTACGTCCACTAGTTGTTGCAAGTAACTGCTCATCAAGAAACGAAACCTTTTGTTCGGCAACGGAGCGAAATTGAGGTAGAAACGCAGAAAAAGCATCACTCTGAAAGACAAACATTGGACAAAAATCATTCTAAAAAAAGTGGACTGGATAGAAATGCTAAAATAAACACTAGTTGTCTAGCAACTTTTATTTTTACCTTTCGTTCACACCATTCAAGTTATATATATATATATATATATATATATATATATATATATATATATATATATATATATATATATATATATATATATCACTTAACTGACCAGTGGTTGTCTTCTTAAACCTATACGCCTGGCATTTGGGGATTAACTTTGTGAACAGGTTATTAGTTTGGTAGTGGTCATAATAGCAAACCTGTTGATTAATTGAGCCATCACAACACTTGAAATCCCACGTATATAAGTTTAATTCGATGAACCCCTTAAGTTGAAATTTTGAAAATCATTGCACTACTTGTATCCGCAATGATTAGTGGGTCCAGGGCGTTCACCTAACAAATTTAAAAAGTTATTCCGACTGTTGCTTCGTAGTCGCTTTCCGAAACTTATTTTCAATTCAGTACCTCATACAACTATCTTGAAACCAAATGTGATGCCGAAATTTCAGCCCTAGACGTTCGTACCTCAATGATGGTCTAAGAGCAGAAAGATCTTAAACTATATAAAATATTCATTGATGTTTGCTGTAGCAGACATTCAAGAGCATGTAATGCTCCAAGCTCACTATTCATCTAATAATCACGGAAATACGTTGCACAAGCTAGGTAGGACGAATCCATTAAATCCTATACAAATTTTTTTTACGTTTCGCTAGGTTAAGTCCACTTAGTTTAATAAATTAAAAAGAAAACGATGTCTTGTAACATCCGCTTCTATTAAAACATTCCGGTTTGTATGGAATATTACCACCAAGTAAAGGCATTTTACCAATAGACACTGTGGTACCCACTGAGAAATTGCATACACCGGTCACATAGCAGAGCATGTCTTAAGGGGTTTGCATAGACCAAAGTCCGATTGTATTCAACAACGTTTGGCACAGATGCTGAATATATAGTACCTGGTGTCTCCTTATGTGACTTTGCCCTCAAATGCCCTAGTATGGCCGAGAGTGGGGAGAGTCCGCTCTTCCTCTCGAAATGCTTTCACATGGCCATGCATAATATAGCCTCTGCCACAAAAGTCCTACTCACTGCCTTCTCGTGGCGGGGGGGTTGTTTACGAAATTGAGGATGAAAAGCGAATGTTCGGCGCTTCAACCAGGTTGGTGGATGTGAAGTGTCCACCTAAGGGAGTTGGAAAACCTTGATTCCAAAGCAATGGTGCACATGGGCCCCAGTATCCTGAAGGAACGAATGGCGTATGAACCAATTGTTGGTCACCGCCTATCATTGGTATATGCATCGCCTCACGATGCTCTACTGCCTTGTGGATCAGACCTTTAGGTCGAAGGCTCCGAGTGTGGCCCCCTAAGAAAACCACCCGCTTCAGTTTGGGCACCTGGGCATTATCCCAGCCCTCACACAAATCTCATTTGATTTGTATGGCGCATATGTATCTGGTACCCGTTTGCATCAATATTTATGTGTTTAAATGAATAAATAAAATGTGACGTTAACCAATACCCATATATATCACATAAACGGCTATTGATGGTGCCAATGTGTATAGGACCAAGACTATTTAGAGCATCCGTATGAACTGTACTGATGCCACAGTATATATGTGATAATCTGTCTTCGATTTTGTAATCGACAGACACCTTGTCCCAAACAAATTGGTTGAAACTGTCGTTCAAACCAAGTATCGACCCTTGCTAGGTTACAACTTACTGTGAATTCACTAGAAATCCCAGGTGAGTATTGATTACATTTAAAAGATGCCATGAAAATTGGTAGCAGCTTTGCTTAACGAACCACTTATTTAAAAAAAACTTAACCGTCCCTAAAGCATTTTAATTTTTGTCGCTCTAATAATGTTACTTATACGCAAAACAGAAAGACAATTCAATTAAGAGCAAGATCTCGCAGAATTTAAGTAAGAATTGTAGAATAGCAACTGCATGTGTCAACTAAGTCTGTTCCAATTCTCGTAGGCTACCAGTAGCAAAAATAGCCTGCTGTTAATAGAACAATTCGAATCGTTAGGAGTACGCTTTACGGCTATCTCCAAAGGCGTGTGTAGAGCTGGGAGAAATGTCTTCAGGATATTTAACTTGGTTAATAGCCTCGTGAAATGAAACTAATTAGAACACGCTTTCCGCTTTATTAACAAGCATTCATTTACATAAAAATATAGTTTGCTTACTTCTGTATTATCAGTCTGTTCGAAAGAGTACTCATCAAATTCTAAGAACCTTGACCCAAAGTCGTCCGTGGCCGGTAAAGTTGAATCTGAATCTGGTAAACATTATGAGTCATTGTTAAAAAAGTATGGTACCTGACATAGCTGCGGAACACTGGCGAAGTAACAAGATAGAAGATATTAATCTGCTTCTGTAATACAATAACCATCATTGATATCCAACTTACGCGGTTTATAATAATTCTAAATTACTACACTGGTAATCCACTCTCAATAATTCGTTTATAAGACTCCAGGGAAAGCAGATGAGATTCCCGAAATCCTAAATGAAAGAAGAAACAGGAGCCAATGTATTTAAGAAAAATCAACCTGTTTTGCGATGTCAATTTTCATTCACCTGCTATTTCATCAACAACTATTGAGCAGCATTGTAAATATCTGACAAACCACCAATAGCTCCCTTGATAAAAAGCGAAGTTTGTTTACTACATTCCACATTGTGTAATACTAAAGAACGGATATACACACTTTTGTCTGATATATATATATATATATATATATATATATAATCTATAAGACAGAATTAAAGGATTCTTGAAAGCCTGTTAGATAGAATGTAATCCAGCAGTACAGTTGGTTTGTGTGGGGTAGAGATCATAATTATAATATTATGTAATATAATATAGTTATAATACAGTATATTATAATTGAACAAATTACTATTTCTACTTGCAAAAGTAAAGTATACTGGACGAATCAATAGGATTTGGATGGGAAAAACATTAACCCAGAAAGCTACGAAATGCCCTTGCCTTTTAGCTAGTGTTGACTTGTCATGAAAATCACGATTATCCATGCGCAAAGACTGACTACTTATGTTAAAACTAGTGACTAATTGAAATCCAATGACATTACATACCGTCCCATAGGTAGGGACTTCACCGCCTAAAACGCAGCTCAAGGTCTTCTGTATACTTGACAAAGACTACTTTTGGAAATATAACGGCAATCAAGAATATATAACAGAATAAGCGAGGAGGTAAATAACTAGGTATATTTAGTTGTGGAGGAATACTTGCAGTTTAAATTTTGGCAATTAGTGCAAGTGTACATATTGCAAAGTCAATATTGGAGCGCGAAACTGTAATATCCAATATCTTTGCCATGAGCATGTAGGGGCCGATTGATTCATTCGCGTTCGCTTCTCGCTGTTTCAATACAGTTTTAGATATTTGGTAATGTTCAATGGGTGGTAGTCTAGCCACTCGACTTCACTGATTCTACTCAGTGTGGCAGTCAAAACGATAAAGCGGTGTAGCTGTAAATAATTCCCCCAAAATCAATAGCTCATTAAGTGTTCGACATTGGATGCTGACCACGTTGTTTAAGTGGACTTGTTTAGCTGAAGGCTTTCGGTCATGCATCCGCACCAGAACACGTTTCAACACGGCGTGGGACACAGCTCCTACGTTTCATTAGCCAGCTTATAGAATAGGTCCTCGATATATTGGTAACGAATCAAATATATCTTTCCTGCCTCTTCTCGTCTGATTTCTATCTGACTGGGAACGATCGAATATAGAAGGTGCTACTGGTAGCTAGTTGTAAAACTAGAACATCCGTTGCATCATCAGCGGTAATGCGAATGCTAAGAGAAGGCGAATGTGTGAAGAATAGTAGATAAGCTAGCTTATTGTGAATGCATACATTGTGAGAAGACGGAGGTGAAATAATTAAAGGGGAGACATATGATATTGAGCGAGATAGGAAGTATTTACTGATATGCGGTAATGATAACCGTGGTAAGTTATGAGACGTTTATTAGACGCAGTTGGTCCAAGAGCGATATGGTAATACATAGGTAGGTGTTTGTCATGTCTACTCTAAAAGCTATCCACTGACGGGGTTATGATCACTTCGGATTAGAAAGCATTCCAAATGGAGGCAACTCCTAGTGAAAAATATGACAGCGTATCTGAGTGTTTACCATTTCATTTACAATTTTTTGAAGGTTGACTGTAGGAGTGTGGTGATGATGTTCCGGTAATTTTTTTGTATCAGGGTAGCATGGTGTGCTTAATATGTTGTATATAATTGTCAAATCACTTCTTATTCTCTTATAGTCCGACGAGAGTAATCTCAAGTGTTATAGTCTATCCGCGTTTGATTTATGTTTAAACACCATCACCCACTTCGTTATCCGTCTCCAAACTTGGTCTCATTTAGAGAGTGGAGGCCCAGTAACATTATTGCATTTATGGTGGAGCCATCAGTGGGTTTTAAGAGGGACTAGGAACAACAGTAGTGCGAAGACGAACTAGCAGCACTCCACCTCTTAAGAACAAGCGTAGCTCTTGCCGAATTCGCCTTAAAAATATAACATTTCCATCCACGTATATTTCTGATAACGATGTTTGGTCATAATTGACCAAGTAGCTAAACACAGAGAACTAAGATGTTCTATCGTTCCTACTGAGATGTAATTAAAATTCAAGAGGTCTGGTTGTCTTTTACCACTTATTTCATGGGGTTTCACTGCGTCTTGGTTTTCCCAATGAATCACTACTTTTAAGGAGTAGAACCAACTTAAGTGCTTCAAAAGATAGCCATGGGTGTTACCAGTGTTGAAAATGGGCGTCTAATTTTCATATTCTGGAAAGCTAGAAATGTAATATAATCAGACATTACCCATGTGGAACAAACATTTATTCACTATCTGGATTGTTTTTCAGGGCCAGTAAAACGTCACCTGTTACTAGCCAAATCAGACTGTGCCATTTCTACGTCAGGTTACTGATCACTGGTCGTTGAACAGCCTAATAAACATCGCCCTACCTTGAAACTGTAGTAGACCCAAAGGCGAGACTGTAATTTATGGACGAGCCAGTCGGAAGCGTCTAACGGATTTCAAGGTCACAATGCCAATACCTGGTGCTCGCGTACGGTCGGTTCACAGCAGATTCTAGAGAAGACGTGACAGTTAAGCGCCTACAACAAATGGTAGTACTAAATGGTTCCTTTATTTGTGACTGCAGTAACCAAATGACTTATAGACCACGTGCAGACTACCGTTATGATATCTTTCGATGTTATATATATCGGATGAAGAGGTATGCTAGAATAGGAACTTTTTTCGCTCGATTTAAATTGAGATTAAGGCAAATCATGATAATTGCTGCTGTGTAATAAAAGCACCAGTAGCACTGGCTGAAATATTCGCAGATGTTACTGAAGCTTCGGCTGTTCAGTGGTATGAGTATTGTAGGGATATACGCGTAATAAAAATGACAAGCTCACACAGTCAGAGTACACACAAGCAATATCGAAGCTATGTGGTAGGGGTTGGAAGGGCATTTGCGACCTTATCATGGCTCCAGAGACCGACTATTATGGAGCCATATGGATGAGTTCCTCTACCGTATGCCTTACAATTTTGGACCCTTGAACCTATTTCTAACCCTGACAAATTTTCGGACCATATGAAAGAATTTTATCTATCTTTGGTTTTGTGTAATATATTTTTACTCTATACTAACTGTTTCCTGATTGGCTAGTGTTTCTCATGGTCATTTAAGATTCGTTCTAAGGTCGTCCGTAAATTATGGTCTCGCCCATACATTACCATAGTCCATCAATGGCTGGGTGAAGAAACTAAATTTTAGGTGTAAAGCTCTGTCGTCAAATTAACCAAAAATACATATCCTAGTCATCAGCGTACGATTCGCTCCCACTAAATACATGCAATTATTTTCTTGACGCATCCTCAAAATATGGATTTGCTGAGTGATGAAATCGCTTCTTCGTTTCTGGCTGAATCATTCACTTCACTACATAAAACCTACTTTATATTTGACTGTATTAAGGAACGCTACCCTAAGTAGCACTGCTCATACCTCTTAATTAATATTTATTTCTTCATGTGAAACTGAGAGACTGACACGAAAATTTCTTGTTTCTATATTTATAACTTGTTTTCATTATTTCAGAAGTAGAAAATTTGACTTGCTGTGGGATTTCACGGGCTAAATGTTAAGACGGAAACTTTTTTGTGAGAAGATCAGTCAATTTTTTGGTGATGCCGAATCCCATAGATAGCGATGGTTCCCGATCTGTATCAATGTGGTTCTTAACATTGCCGAGTGATGGTGCAGACTTTCTAGTTACCCTTATTAGGAGTTGTCTCCTGGGAGCTTTCCCACCCATTCATCTCCTAACAGTCTGCTTCGCCCTTATCACTTTCCAGGGGAACTCAGCCGTTTGAAACTATAAATAAGGTGTTGCTGCATTATATCCTATGTTTTAAAACGTTTGAAATCACCAGGCAAAATCTATCATCCGGAATACACTAGCTGTAGGATTCTTTTGGAAAGTTCCGCCTGATTGCTCATGAAAATCCCTCAACACATACACATTTGTAATTTACTATTCTACATCCCTTCATATGTAGATTTTGTTGAGGTTTGATTCAGAATGAGACAATATTATTTCATCTTTCTTACAGTTTCCTACTTTGTTACGCTTTTATTAGATTCTTATGCTTTTCCTGGGCCACATCGATGTCGTTTAAATTGATATTTTGTTACGACGATTGCCACATTGATTCTTACCTCTTTTTGATTGCGTGGATTGAATTGACTGGAATTGCGCATCTTTGATTGTGAATGGAAGCACTCTTCCAGGACTGAAGCCACTCTATGTTATAACAAATTACTCTCGATACATTTGTTATTGATACTTGTACAGAATGAGATATTATCCAAAAAAACCTGTATGCTATCTATCCAGGAAGCAGATAATAACATTCCTGTATCAATAGGAGCATTTATTTGTTGAACTTGATAACTCATATATTTCATCAATTTATCCACTTAATGTAATTAGATCTGATTATTTGATGGACATTTATCGGTTGAATAACCGAGTGATGATAATTATTAAGGTGATAATCTACATTCAAATTTATAAAGAAATTTATGACTGACATCTACATAACTCCTTTGTTTTGGATTTTTGCTGACCGGGTGCATGCTTTCTAAACTAACCTAAACAGTTATTTCTCATTCTAGACTGTTTTAGTTTTGAAGTTACACTAATTCCATAGAAGTGTGATAATTCACGTAAACTAATAAAAACTGGAGATGA